GCCGCGCGAGCCCCTTGATGCTGCGCTTGCACGCCTGTCTGCCCCCGAAACAGCGCCGGGTAGCAACGCCACCACGGCGGCCTTGGTGTCTCTTGTCGAAAACTCATCTATAAGTGCGGTTGGGCCGCCGCAGTTACTTGAGCCAATACATGTTTTTTACACAGCTCCTTAACTCTTTAAAAAAGGAGGTTCTGCTATTTTCAAGTCGTGCCTTTTCTCTTAAGTTATCCAAGCACTTCCTTTAAGTGTATGTGTATTTCAAGTACATTTTTTTTAACGTAATTGTGGAGCAGAGTGGGGAAAAAAAGCTGCGTGGGATTACTGTGATAAAAGTGTGGGAAGATTTCTGCAAAGAGTATTTTTCCTGAGGAGAGAATGTGCTTGCATGTTGTATCTGGCATATCTAGACTGAATAAATAGGCTTTCTTAGCTTTCACAAGTCATGCTAATGTTATTCAATTATGCTTGAAGAGCTAAACCCAAGAGGAAATTTTTATTATGGGTTTTTTTTAGTTTTGCCTACAGCTATATTGTACAATTTTATCGAATAAAAATTCAGCTGGTTTTGTAGGTTTGCAAACTCAGGAAATTTTCAGTATAATTAATGTAAATGTTTGCGTTGAAAACCACTGAATACAAATCTCCTAAAGAAAAAAAAATCATGTTTTTATATAACACAGACTATATAGCGCAGAAAGTAATCTACTCACTGACTACTTAAAATGAATTTCCCTGTGGTAGGTATTTTCCTGTCACAGTGGTGCATAGGAAGCACATGCTTGCGATGAGAGGTAGAAGTTTCTTCAAATAAGAATTCTGAAGTAAAAAAGGAAAAACAGAACAATTGGTATTAAGKTTTTTTTGCTCTCTGTCCTGAGTCCAGCTCTATATATTTGCTGTTCAGTTCCGTGTACTAGAGAAGACTTCTGGTAAAATTTGTTAAATCTTAAGAGTATTTGTGCTGACTGCTGTAGCTTCTGTCCAGTCTGAATTAAGGACCAATTAAGTAAYACTCTTTCCCCCATTTATTTTTTCTGTGCAGGGTTTTCTTGTGTAACAATGCCTTACGTTACACTTGATATCTCATTTGCTTCTCCAGCTTGTGAAGGCAGGATTGTATTAAGGAAAAGTGGTTTTAAAGCTGGTCTTCCTTAGATTTGCTTCCGTGGAGCAAAGTCATTACTCTCCTCCCTCTGCCCTCACTAAAACAGAGTTTCTAACTGGTCTGATGTCTCATGGCCAAACTACAGGTCCCTTGCTGTGCAGGGAGGATATTGACATGTTTAAAAACAAAACATGTTCCACCATTTTATGGAGTAATACTCCGGGTTTTTGAGAACTGCAGAGAGTGTGTGTAACAGATGCATTTATTGACCATGGGAATGGATGCTCCCAATGCTTGTAAGATATCTTTTTGAACCAGAGAAGACAAGCCCCTGTATCAAAATAAATTAATCATGTGATCAAGTAATTTTTATACAAGGATGCAAAAAACAATGTTGGTGGTCTTTATTGTGAATTAGTCTTTACAAATGTCGCTGCATTTAAACTAAAATCACACAATAAGCACTAACAGATGGAGTTTTCTTGTGTGTATTAGATGTCTATGGAAGACTTTTTTTGTTGTTAATGTTAATTATTTGAGAGCATGCAGAGGACTATTAGAAGTTTGAGGAGGCCTTGTTTGTGGTGGTGGGAAAGAAGGCACAGGAAGGCTGAGTTGTAAAGGAAAGTTCAAATGATGGCATATACCAATAATATCTAAAAACAAAAGCAGAATTCAAAAGCAAATATTTAAAACTGTAATTTATAACAAGGCTTCTGAAATCAGTATTGAATATAAAGGCCAGGATAGATTTACTGGCAGGTTTTGTGAATAGCACCTTAGTTGAGTATTCAGAGTTGTCTACAGTAGATAAATCTGTGCACTTTGGAGTTGTTTGAAGCTGAAGTTTCAGAAAAGATGCTTCCTGCTTTCATTGGAGGCAAAAGATTTATAAAACTCATCATTCAGAATTTATGCATACTCCTTAAAATAGTGTGCAAATCTGTATGTTTGAATGCCTTCCAAGTGGAGATTATCAAGAGGTTTACATTAATGCCTGGGAGGGAAGCAGGCTGTGATCTCTTGTTGAGGTAGGTGGGCAGCTGTGAATTTAGAGTTTTTCCCTCGTAGATGAACTACAGCTGTATGGATCGAACCATCAAACCTTGTACAATACTCTTGTGGCTGCTACATCAGCCATAGGGTCTGTTAATTCCACTAATTTTGTGTGGATTTATGCTTCCAGTTGGTGTAGAGCAACTATTGGTACGCTGCTGTTTGTTTATATGACTCCCATACTGCCACAGGAGAGGAGGTGTAAGGTGAAGGTAAATTACAAGCGTAACAAATGCCTGATACTCCCTTTGTTCTTACTCCAACAGTTGCTTCCCAAATGGATACCACCACAAGGCTTGCATAACTACAAATGTAGAAAAGTCTAAATGCCAGAAGGTTGACCAAGAAAGAGGCACAGATTTTCTGAATGAAAATAACATAAGTTGTAATAAAGTTCAGTTTTAAAATGTTTTGGTTTTTAATTTTAATTAAATTAAATTTAATTTAACTTTAAATTTTAAATATTAAAATGGTTTTAAAATTAATAACCTTGAGAGTCTTGCAAAACACTAACCTTAGCCTGCTTACTAGTTATAACTAAACTGAATTTTTGTCTTTTAAAGGAAATTCGACATAAATCCAGTGACTACCCTCACAAAGTTGCAAAGTACCCAGAAAACAGAAATCGCAACAGATACAGAGATGTTAGTCCATGTAAGTATGTCTTGTCTTGTTTTATCTTGTCCACTTCTAAACACCGTATCTGGTTGTATAGCTAAATACATAGCTAATATATCACTATCCTTGTAGACTTTCTATATTTTTTCCAGTTCTGTAGGTATGTGTCCTTTGYCAACTGTATTTTCTATTACACAGATTTTTTTAATGAAAAGGAGAAAAATCTGCTGTTAAAAACATATTGTGATTGGTGAGTTAGGGCTAACTCTAAATTTAAGTTTTGGGTAATAGSTAAATATCAGCTATAAAATTAATATGATTTTGAAGATGCTTTTTATTGTAGGGAAACTGTTCGAGTTAGCATTGCTCTATCTGTCTTTAAGCAATCAAGATAACCAACAGCTGCTGAGCACAAAGCTTAAAGTTAACATGTGTGACTAAGTTTCATTCGGGGCTCCTTAGACAGCTCAAACAACACTTCTGGAACAGGGTTGTGTGGAAAAACATCATGGAACTTGTACTAGTGCTTTAAAAGCTACCTGAGGGTTTTATTCGGTGCGTTCTGAAGAATGCATGAGAAATCATTTTGTAGTTCTCTCGGTATAAGTAGATTATAGTATGTGGTGCTTTGTTTTACCCRCTGCCATAAAATTTGCTTGATGATGTAAGGACCTCCTGTCTCRGATAAGGACAACAAAATCCTTCAGTATTGGAAGTGTTGTGGAGTTTTTTCAATACTTGTTGCTGGACCAGCAACTCTAGAAAAACATCTAGAACAGGAGGTTACCTATATGCAGTCATAGCTGGTTTAAGCTATTAAAAATCACTTTCAAAAGAAGTAAGAAAAGATTTGAGTGTAGCTTTCACTTTTCTACAAATTTTGAAGTCAGGACYGGTGAAATGCTTGTGAATCTTTTAGCATCAAGTTTCCCAGACTAGAAAAGACTTTAAGTTCTCTTTTTATTTGAGCTGGCCTTCCTGAAGGGTTGTTGGTGTATTGGGGCTTTTTTGTTTTAGACCCTACTCTGTAGTACCTATGGTAAGACTTGGAGAGGTGCTGAGCTCCTGATTTCCAGTTGAAATTCATGGTCCCGGCATGTGCCTGACACTCTTCCAAGTGAGCCTGAAAGGGTTCAAACAGAGTCAGATGCAGAGCTGCTGGTCAGGCTGCTSCTGGAGTGCTGCCCTGCAGCTTGTAGGTACAGCATGTGGGGGCTGTCAGGCTCAGTGCTGAATCTCAGTACTGTACTCTGATGTAACTGAAGTCTGTGCAAGCCCATATGGTACAGTCCAGTTTGAGGAATGTGCAGCTATGAAGGAGATAGCTCAGGGCTCATTAACTTCATGCTCAGCAGAGGTTTAGATGTGCTTTTTTTTCTGGACCTTAGCTGATGTAGGTGGTGCTTCTTCAGTGCCTCAGGCCTGCGATTACAGCACAGAGTTAGCTTCTTACCTGTGGTRAAGTTATAGAAGTTGAATGCAACGTGATCCATATTCATACTTACATTGAGACAGAGAGCTGTAAGAGGAGAAGGTAAGAAACTGAGCTTCAGCCCATGAGACCCAGACTTTATTCCTGGGTTCAGTAATTTCCATGGCTGAATTTGTACTCATTTATTTACATTTCTTCCCATCCCTGAAGTGTATTTCTTAAGCACAACTGCAGAGAGAATGGCAGCTTACGCTTCAAGTGTTTGCTGTTTTTTTAAGCTGTGATTTTCCGTGTTAATGGAATGCCTTTCTCAGTACTGAAGGCTCTATCCAGTTGCCTTCCCCCCATCTGTTGTAGCAGAGCCTGCTTTTGAAATACTAGCTTAGTCAGGAGGGAGGTTATTGCATCATGMTATTAATCCCTTGGCCTTTTACAACAGCAAGGAGACAGTTAAAATAAAATCTAGTCTTTAAGTGGTAGCTCTGTTTAAAAAGGGATAAAAATTACTGCATCTTAGTTGACTTGAAAAATACCATGATGTCTGACATGAAGTGATGGGCTTTATGATGCACTTCTCAGTTTTTGGCATGCGTGAAAGAAAAGAAGGTTCAAATTGGGCCACTAAGGTACTAAGAACAAGGGTTTATGAGGAGGAAAGAGCAAAGCACTGTTTTTGAAATAATTGCTATTGAATTTCAAATCTGTGTGCTAGCAAACATGATTCATAGTAGTTTCTGTAAGGGTGGGAGTTGGGAGGAGAAAGAGACTGGAGGGAAATATATAACAAAAACATTCCCAGATAGTGGTGTGTAAATTCCAGAGCAATTGGGATAAAAGCTCTGTGAATTGGTCATTGTGGTGAACACATCATGGCACGGTACACATGTGCAAGGAACTGGCATTGCAGAAGTACAAGTAAGTCTTACACAATGTAACTTCTCAGTCCTTGACTTTGCAAATGTAATGGTTACTTAGAAGTGTTTATATGAAAATCTGGTGGTGATAATCACTTTGTGATAATTAAGGACCTTCAGAACTCCTTACAAGAAGCAGATGTTCTAGTTTAAGGGTTAGAAAATGTTTGATAGTTAAAGCTTCACGATCTAGCTATTTAAGTRAGCATATTAGAAGACGTGAGAAACAGTTTGGTTAAAATTATTTATTTCTCCATGATAGTAATATAGTGAGTTGTTAAACTGGCTTGGCTGCTATCTAGTTTAAAACCTGAGATGGCATGACTGTAAGAGGAAGTGCAAAGATTATTTTGTCTTGTGGAAAGATCTTGACTAGAGCACAGAAAAAAAAATGATGTTTTTTACTTGTTTTTTATGCTGTTTGGTCTTTGCTGTTTTGCTCTATTTCAACCGTAACAGCTAGGCAACAAACGGTGCAAACAATTTGCACCGTTTGTTTACACAGCTTTCTTAGATATAAAAAGATCTGAAAGATGATTTCTGTTAGGTGTGTAAGGCTGAGCATCTTTGATTATTACAATTGAATTAGTTTCACATTGTCTAGGGTATTGCGGCTATTTCTCTTAGTGCTTGGTTTTGTTGGCAGGAGAGCTGTGGTRTGTAGAGGAAAGGTTTGGTACAGCAAGAGCCATAGGTAGTTACTGCCAGCCAAAGATAGTGTTCTGGTAGTTGAGTACGAGTCTAGAGTGGGGAGAGGAATATCTTGGTTATATAGTAGTATTGAAACAGGAAGTTAATCTGAAATAGGGTTGGTTTGAGAACTAGTCATTTCCTGACAGATGAAACCATTTCTCAGAAAACATTGTTAAGAGGAAAATAACTTTGGGGGCTATTACTTGATACCTTCAATGAAACTCTTYAGATCTGTCAGGAGTTTCCTCCTGAAGCTTATCCTTGGTTCACATCATAGTCACTAGATAGTTGCCTTGCAGTATAATTTTGTTTGGTATCTCTGTAAGTGCTTTCAGAAATCTAGTCAGCTGACTGCTCCCAGATTTAGGAGCAGGAGGAAAATGCCCTTTGTAAAACTGCAAGATTTTTTTTTTCTTCCTTTAGGCAGGAATGGAGGAAGACACAAATTCTGTAGTCTTCTTTTGTAATGTAGTGTGTAGCCCATTTTCTTAGATCAGCTGAACATTTTCACTTAATAAATCATGTTGCTGTTGGAAGATCTTGAGTAGGGATTTCTTCTGTTTTCTTCCTGTAACCATGAGTAGTCTTYGTGCTGAATCTGTAAGTCATGAGTAGTCTTTGTTTTGGATCTTGAAACCATAGGCTTGCACTTGGCATAGAGTATGCCTGGGAGAGAGGACTGTGCAGAGTATTGTGCTCTCAGGGGAATGGAGTGGGAGCTGATGGGGACAGTTTTGTACTTAATGCTGATTAAATGCTAGCACCAAAATGTTATCTTTCAGTCTGCGTAAGCTRCAAATGGGGGGATGTTCAATCCAAAATAAGTTCAGTGCATTTTTTTCTCACTGCCCCTATTAGATATTGAAGGTGATGGTATGCTTTTACTTTTAATGATTCTGTAAAATATTTTATTGATAGCTTTCCAGAAGCATGGTATAAGTAAGSTCAACTAGCTACTTTTGGAGATCTTCCTTAGTTGGGGAAAGAGGGAAATTTGCTAGCATGTAATGATGTAAATTATGTATTAGCACATTATTTTTATTTTGCCGTCATGCAAAGACTTAAGGCTTCTGTGCACTGGGGCTGTGTGTATTTTGGTCTGAATACATCCCAGCTATGAGCCAGGCCTTAATTACTGCCCTGTTAGGGCATTCATCATTCATGGAGTACAGTGCCGCAGGAAGGTCGCTTCCCTCTGCCTTTGCCTTAGGCTCACTCTGAAACTTGAGATTGTAGCTGCAGTGACAGTGCTGTAACTCGGATCCCGTAGCAGCCATGGTAGACAAATAGGCTCAGGTTAGTGAAATGAGGGGGAATCCCTGCTAGGAGAGGAAAGGTCAGGCTTGGTCACYGGGATCACTGGTGCCTGCCTGTTTTATTTATGGGTTCCTTTAATCCACTAAGTAGCATTTCACCCTCTTGTTGTCAAGAGCCCCGTGTTGAGGCAGCAAGAGATGCCTTTTAGATAAAAGATCGTTTTTAAGCTGTGCAYTGGTTTCACTTCTGGAAACATAATTGTTTTCAAGTAAAACCCTTTCCTGGTAACCAGCTGCAAGAACTAACTGTGTCATGTAAAATGCCAAACACTTCCCATCTCAGTCTTAATTGAATGCGTCATGGGTTTTTTTACCCCTTTTTTTTTCCCTCTAGCAAGGAGGACACATGAATGTAAAATGTGGAATTGTGGTCGTTTGAAATGCACAGTATTGTCATGGGAATCAGTGGGACAGGGTTTTGCCTGAAGTGGGTAATAGAAGAGTTTATCTCAGACATGGTGGTTCTGGGTTAGTTTTTGTAGTGCAGAGCCAGAATGAGAAGCATTTTTAAGGTATCCACTTCCTTTTTGGGATGCATAATTTGTTGAAAAAGAGGAATTAGCACTTCAGATGATGAGTACTGTATTTTAGCTGCCTTAGCTAGTAACATTTAGGAGGTATCTCATCTTAGAGATCTGCTTATCATTCATATAAATCTGAAGTGCTTTGTAACTGGAAATGATTTACATACAGGCAAATATGTTCCAGCTAATGCTCTGTCTAAAGTGTGCTTGCTTCATTTARTTCAGAAGAGCAAGCCAGAACTTGAACGAGGTTTCTAGGTCATTTTGTCCTCTAGGAACCTTTTCCTTTGAAAGGAGAATCGATGGATTCTAGCGGCTTGCTTTGTCCTCCAGAGTGTGTG